GGCTTATTTAGGTAGGTCAATTGTGGCCGCGCCTAGGTTTAGGGTTTAGGGTTTAGGGTTCAGGGTTTAGGGCTTTGGGTTCAGGGTTTAGGGTTTGGGGCTGGGGGATAAAAGGAATGGAAACTGCAAAACCCAAGAGAACGGCGCGAAGAATGCCCTGAAGCAAAAGCCGCATGCCGCCTTAGGTCCATAGTAGAACCGTGCCCCCGACAAGTGTGGCATAGCATCGCTGGTGGTATCGAGGACCACGTCGTCGATGGCAATCTGGAGAGGATGTGGGCTACTTTGGCGTTTGGGTATAGGAAGCAGGGTCCTCATGACGAGTCCTTCGCAAAGGAATCCAAATCTACACCCGCGAACATGTTTCCAGCGAGCCGTCTATACTGGCGGCTGGCAGTGCCTGAACACAACAGTGCAATGCGGAGTTTTGAGAAAACAAGGGACTCCTATCTAGGGTATAGTGATAACGGAGCCCCCAGGAAAAATCAGCCTTCGATAATACCTAGCACCTACCACTTAGATCTTGGAATGTAGTTGGGGTTTACCGCCATGTCAGCGATCTTTCCGGGTAAAGAAAAAGACGCACCTGCTCTCGGGTGCTTTACAGGCCCCTCCCTTCAAGAACAGCTCGCACCGCAAGTGTCAGACCTCTTTGCCCTTACGAGTAGCTTCAACCCTCCCGTCCCCACCTCCTTTGCAACTTCAATGCAAGAAGGCCCTTGTTGCAGCTTCCCGGCCCCGATGTAGTCATACAACTTCCTCACTCACCAGCAAATTCACGTGCACCGAAGAAGCTTGAGATTCGACCCTCCTACTTCAAGAAGAACATCCTGGTTGAGGAATCGAACTTCTTTTCAGTCTAATCTAAGGATATACCTACTATATACCCTATATATACCCTTGAGGGACCCTAAAATCCCCTAAGGGCCCATGTTAGGGGCCCATGGGTTCAACCTTAGATCTAAACCGCGTGAACTTTCTGCGGTATGTAAGGCTGGAGTCTTCTGGCTCGAGGGTTCAGGGGTTCAGGTTGAGGTGTCCATCCTGTTTAGGGCTTAGGGGTTTAGGGTTTAGGGTTTAGTGTTTAGGGTTTAGGGTTTAGGGTTTAGGGTTTAGGGTGCTTCGACATCTCGGATTCCAGCAGTGTTTCAGCATCAGGAGTTCCGCGTCAGTTTATCGTCCGCAAACATTTGGAAAATGAAAAAGAGGATCTCCGAGACCCAACAAGAGCCCAAGATAGCCCAAGTAGATAGATAGGAGACGCAGTGGTAGAGGCAGCACCTGAGATTTGAGTTAGTGTGAGAAACCTGGTCTTAGTAGCACCGCCACTCGCACCACAATTGCGACAACTGCCCTTGCTCGTCAACAGTGACAGTGACGTTTTTTTTGCGCAGCCGTGTGTTGCTCCTGCTAGGGGGATCTGATTTCTTGTATTCGATGACTGTAATCATGGTCGTCGTGCTTATGGTGGCAGTAGCAGCAGGGATGTTGGGGTGGCATATATATGTAGAAACTGTGATCAAAACAACTACCGTGGTGACGCTTAATCTGTTCGCGATCGTGTCCGTCGCGCTGCTGCTCTTGCTCGCATGGTCGCGACGCTGATGAAACTTTCATCAAACTAGCTGGCAATGATACTGATGATCATCATCATACCGGTGACGGAGACAATGACGCGGTTGTTGCAGATGACGGTGATGGTCTGGGTGATGTTGATGGCAGCTTCGGTGATTCAGACGAACATGGAGACGATGGTGGTGATGATGATGGTGATGACGACGACGAGGCCAGAGGCCTCTTGCATTGCAACTTCTGCACTAGATTCCCGCTGGATTGCTCTCGAACATCTTGAAGCTGCGGGACACTTATCAGAGCTCTGCATCTCTCTTCAGCAAAGAAAATAAGGATACTAGATGGCGCAGGCGAGGCACCGGCCTCACAATACACTGGATTACAGCACGAAGTTCCTGCGTCTGTTGGGTGTTAGGGTGCATTCTGATACAAGTACATACTTTAATCGACTCATCTAAGGCCTCTCTACAAGCGTACTGCATACTCGTGCGAATTCTTCAAGCCACTCTTGTACATTACTCTGATGCCCCACACCGTCACCCTGTTACTCTGAAAGAGTAACCCACACCGTCACCCTGCGCCCAGTACGAGCATCGAGCAACCCAAGCTCTGAAAGACTCCAGGGCGTAGTGTCTTTACGATGCAGGCTTTTGCGGGGGGGTTTTAGGGTTTCGGGTTTAGGATTTAGGGTTTAGGGTTTCGGGCTTAGGGTTTCGGGTTTAGGATTTAGGGTTTAGGGTTTCGGGCTTAGGGTGTCGGGTTTAGGATTTAGGGTTTAGGG